TGTTTGTAACTCTGTATTGTCTGTATTGTGCTTGTGATATGTTGTAAAATGTTGTATGTCTGTTAATGTTTCCCTCCTTTTATCCTTAAAAAAAAAAAAAAAAAAAAAGAAATAATGGCTTCAATTTGTGGAAAGTCCCTGGACATTTGGAATGTTCCAGTACAGCCTCACTCACACCCTGGGCACAGGCCACGCCCCCGTGGGCGTGGCACTTCAGCAGACATTTTTACTGGAGCTTTGCATCACCATCAGTCTTCACGTGCATCACTTTTGTAATGAACGAAGCAGAAAGTGAACAATGTGAGAGTTGAGGTTAGATAGTGTATAAAAATACTGGTGAAAGAAGAAAGAAACTGCATGAAAGATAGGTTCGGGTTTTCCTTGTTTTGTGTCTTGTCCCCTCTTCTAACCCCAAAATGATTTTAATATGGCAGGTCATTCTGTCATTTATAGATAAATGAGATTAAAATTTGTTGCTATTAAATGTGATTGTATGAAAGGTTCTGTTAGGAACACTACTGACTACCAAAATTAGCTTTCTTGAAAATAGGTAGGACTGGTGTCGGTTACCTGTACCGTGTAATCCAAGGCACACCTCGCCTTGCTCCCCTTGTCTCGCTCCTGCTGATGGTGCCAGCCATGTGGATTTCTGGCTTGCTTTCTCCCTACCTTTTACCTCTTCCAACTCTCCTCCACCTTAATTTTTGTTCTCACCATCTCAGACAGACTCATCTCTATGATTAATCTCTATTCTTGCATAGCAGAAAGAAAAAAGACTAATATTTGCCTGTTTTTACAAAAATATAAGGATTTTTGTAATATTAATTCCAGCTTTCTAAACATGAAATGCTTTGCTTTCCATTTGAGAGATACTTCAAGGTTGCCTTGTAGGACCAGGCACCAGGCTCCAAAACAGCTATTGTTGCCCCTGGTCTGCAAGGAGATGAGGCAGACATTGGGAATAAGCATTCAGAAATCTCCATGACAGTCCAGTGACTATATCAATCATTTTTATTCTAAGAAATGTTAGTTCATAAGTGTTTGGAAACTGGAAAAAAGGGTTTTCTTTCCTATTTTGATTTCTTCCATTTTTCTTCCCTTTCTCCCTTTTCATTTCCTATCTTTCTTTCTTTCTTAGAATATAGTGTGAGAAGCACTATTACAGTGGGTAGTTATAAGGTAGGAAAAAGTCACTACAGAGTTTATCATTACTTTCAAAATTAACCTTCTTAAATGAGAAACAAACATAAAGAGCTTTTGGATAAGCAAAGATTGCTTAATTTCTTATTTAGTTCATATACACACGGCTCTTGTATGGTCCACAACTGAAATGAACACTCACTAGAACAATAGCTTTTTATTTTTCTTAATCTGATTTTCCCTCTTTCTTATACAAATTAATACTTCAACACACAGAATGGTAATGAATTATTCTCAGAAGTAGGACATAATAGTTATCTATAACACATCAAGAGAAATTTAGAACTAGGACTATCTAAGATAATGAGAGGCAAGTGGGAATTTGGGAAAGAAAAGAATTTGACATATGCAAGTAATTATTGTGAGTTTTAAATTATTTACTAAGTATAGTAACATAAAGATGCTTTTGTTAGTCGACGTAGAAATTTTTCTTAAAAGAGAATATCAAAATGTAGAACAACTGCAGGTATTTTGTATTCTAAAAGAATTAAAAAAAAAAACAAACCCTCTATCCTGTAAAGCTCTTGAGAAAATCTAAGTCTGATCCAGGATGGATGCACAGGAGTTTGTTTTGCTGTTAATTTATGCAACCATTGTTCAAGGCAAACTGTGAACCGTGTCAGTGGGGGTGATATAGGATATTTTGGTTTGCAACTCTTTGGGCCAACACTTTCTTGTTTTCCTTAAAAAGAAAAAAAAAAACCATTTGTGTGCTTTTTACAAAGACTTCAGGATGCTGCTTACCATTTTAGCTACCAACACAAACAACCTTGACAATCATAATCTATTTTTTATCCCTTCTCACCCAGTCAAGTAAGCAGTCATCCATTATAGGCCCTCACATGAAATACAAATTTAGCACCATAGAAATGAAAACTAAAGCAATTTGTACCCTTACTATTCCGAGGGGAATCATTCTTGGTCTATTTACTATGAAATATTTCCCCTATCTTATACTCTTCTAAGTTATATCAATGTCATCGACCATAACTTGAATCATAATGAGTAGATGATACCCTTGCATGACTGGAATCATGCCATCATTATTAGATGACCTAGTTAGCATATGTGGTTAAAAATGCCATTGCCTTTTTATTTATTGACTTATTCAGAACGGCATAGGTTATATGAGGACGGAGTTTCTGATGTGTTCTTTGTGAAATGGCAGTGTTTTGTTTACATTTTTAACCCATATCCACTAACCGCATACACGGAGGCATCTACACTATTTTAAAGTATTCGTGACTTTGTGAACCATATTTTTTCCCTCTATGACTTTTATTATCAATGCTCCTGGAAAAATGTAAAACATGAGCAAGGAAATGTGATAAACGTGTTTCAAAAGCGCTGGCAGATTTTAGAAGGAACCTCAAATCAGGAAAGATGTCAGGGAGAGAAGCAACCTTCCTTGACCCCAGGGAGGGTCAATCGTGCACTCCGTGCTGGTTTTCGCTGCTTGTCTGAGCCCGTCCACCAGGAAAGTGGGTGGATTAGCTTTCTCTGAGGAGGCTTCCTCATAATACTGCATCCAAGGTCAGAAATCCCTGCACTGTTTCTTGTCTTTGCTTACAAATAAGAATTTATAAAGAAAAAAAGAATCATTTGCCTTAGAAATGATGCTAAAATTTATTCTTCCTTTGACTCTGCCTCTATTCAAATCTTTATTTGGCCTTTAATCATACTCCCTGCCCTTGCGGTCTTTCCTTCCATCTTCCTAGGCCATTATTTTCTTCTCTTCAGGGGGACCAAAATGCTTTAGATAAGTTATGGTTTCAATTTTGAAAGAACTCGCTGTCTTATGTCCTCTGGTTTCTTCTCCTGCTTCTCGCTTCGCTTCGGATCCCATTCACATCCTTGCGGTTCTCAAAGCAGTCCTTGCAACTCAGTGTTTAGGAGTTTGATCATCTATTTACTAAATCAGTGCGGACTACTTCACAAGATTTAAAAGAAATTGGGGTAGATTTTTAAAAGTTAGGCAAAATGTCTGATGAACAATACATTTTCCCTTTGAGATTTTCTCTTGCATGTAGTTATTAAGAAATTTGGATTTGTAAGGAAACAGCTTTTCTATGTGTAATATAAGATCAGCAAATCTACAACATGTTTATTTTCTGATTTCTTGAAGATTGAACTAGGTTAGTTGCATGATGTTTAAAGATGTAGTTGGAGTCTTGTCAGATAATACCATGATAAATTATCTAATAACTCCTCAGGTTGGCTGAGCCATTTTCATATGATTTGAGTTTTCTTTGCAGACCCAAACTGTAGATGTCAATAGAAAAAGAAGCTATTAGCAGCATATCCAAAGGTAAGGAGAAAATGCATGTACTGTAAGTTAAATTAGATGAATCCACTTTTCATTTCTATTATAAGACTGGAAAAACTTTTCCCTCTGATCCAGTACTGTTTTTTTTTTATTTGAAAGATAAAAGATGAAAACAATACAATAGATATTATAAAAGGGAAAGAAACTGCTCAAAAGGAAAGAACAACTGGGATGAGGGAAAAGAGAAAAGGAAGAAAGAAGGGAAAAAAAATATGTATACACAAGATAGCTGTGATCCATTACTCTTATGGCAATAAAAATTAGCTTCTGGTGAAGTCTTACTATAAAATGCCATGGTTGTTCACACTGAAAACTTAGTTTGCTAAACATGAATTAACTTTGATCAGCAATAATCTGACTATTCTAATAGTCAGATTATTGACTATTATTATTCTAATAGTATTAGAACAGATTAGTAACAGATTATTTACTACTATTATTCTAATAGTAGATCTTTTTTTCCTTAAAAATGAAATAGTATTTGGGAGTATAAATGTAATGCTAAGTCCCAAATCAGTCTTATCTATTCCCAATAAACATCGATTCTCAATTTTATGTCCTTCTGATAAGTGCATTTATTGCAAAGTCTCTTGTGGTTGTCACTATTTGACTGGGTTTGTCACGCCTGTTTGTAAGCACATGGCATAGAGTTGTAAGATCTCCAGAGCAATTCTCTGTGTCCTGTGCAAAAAATTTTTACATTTCTGGATAGAACACACACCAGAAATAAAGAACCGGATTGCAGCTTGAATATCAAAGCAGTATGTCTCAACTGACTAAGCAGGCCACTAACAATTTAGGTAAAAGTATGCAATAGAACAATTAATGAGCTATAAAAACTGTTCATTGATCAGTGACCTACAGAACACATAGGTATGTATGTACATCCTAAACATTTATTTAGTTGGCACATGAAAGCTTTTAGGGTTACTTTCTGCTATTTTATGATTCACTGTTTATGTTTACATGGAAAGAAAGTAAAAGTCTTATTCTAATCTTATTTACCTGCTCATCAAGCCTTCTTTGAGGGAAAACTAGAATTCAGGATAAGTCACTCTATCAACCAATGCATATTTAACACATTATTTTCTTGGATATAGACCAATATGAACTGTGGTGGTATATGGAAAAAAAATTGAAGTTCTGTCCCAATGCCTCAGAAATTATAACAGAGGATGAAATTAGCAGTCATGGGGTAATCTGAGTATTAATAGTATAATTTCCACTGAACACACCTACAGAGCTAAGAGTAGGAAGGAATAGCATCATAGTCCATAACATGATAGTTAGGAAAGGCTTTGTGGTCAGAAGGAAGATTTTCCTATAGTATATGATCTGGACTTTAAAGAAAAGGTTGGATTTTGGTCAATGGAGGCACAGCTATGTGAATGAAGTCATGAGAAGTGGAATGAACATGGTGTATTTGGGACATGAGGGAGGCCAACTACACAGGATTGAAGAATCAAAGCATATGAACACAGGAAAAAATGGACCCAGTGTCTGACATTGGTAGTGGGTTACTAGAGTCAAGGGTTGAATGCTAAGTTCTGAACCCTGGTGTTGCTGATCAGGAGGAATTAACGGCTTTGTGCAGCAACGTAAATTGAGAGACAGCAGAGATGTAGAAGTGGAGACAAGTCTCTAGATCATGACTATTGCCAAGTTTGCAAAGGGGGAAACATGCATTGAGCACACACGGTTGGTTTTAGACAAATTAGTGCAAATGGAAGTTAATCTTTGACATCCTTTCTCTATCACCTCCTTGTGCAAGTTGGGTATGTTGTTCTGGCTCAGATGGTGCAAGGCTTCTCTCTTTGTTTTGATTTGCTTCAGTATAGCTGTATTCCATTTCACTTGTTTTTAAAACCTGAAGTTTAAAATCTCTGGGGCTTTGTAAACTATTTCTACAAGTGAAAGAAGGATAACATCTGGCATCTAGTGATCTTGGTAGTATCTCTTCCATTCCCTCAGTGAATATCTTTATATTCTTTGGTTAAATGCACCTTTTCTTAAGAAAGTATTTTTTAAAAATATTTTTTAAAATAGAAGTTGTAAGTTTACAGAAAAATTAAGAAGAAGGTAAGAGAGTTTGCATGTACTTCCTGCCTCTATGCATATATAACCTCTGCATCTAATCTCAACATCCCTAACCAGAGTGGTACACTTGTTATATCAAACGAACTTACATTCATACATATTTTAGTGTTGACTGTCGGCGTTGTATATTCTATGAGTTTGGAAACATGTGTAATGACATGTATCTATGATGATAGAATCATATTGTTATTTTCACTGTCCTAAAAACTCTTAGTATTCATCCTATTTATCCCTCCTGTCACTTGGCAAGCATTGATCTTTTTACTGTTTCTATAGTTTTGTCTTTGCCACAATGTCATATCATTAACTCCATATAGTATATAGCATTTTCAGATTAATTTCTTTTTTTTTTGGAACCAGGAATCCAACTCAGGACCTTGTGCTCCCCAGGCAGGCACTTTGCCACTGAACTGTATCCCTGGCCTGAATTTCTTTTAATATGTAAGGTATATTTAAGTGCCCTCCATGTCTTTGTTTGGTTTGGTAGCTCATTTACTTTTAGGGCTGAATAATATCCTATTGCATGAATATACCACAGTCGGTTAAAAAATTAAGAAGATTGCTTCTAAAAGTTGGCAATTTGGCTGCTAAAAACATTCATGTGCGTGATTTTGTGTGGACATAAAATTTCAATTCTGTTGGATAAATACCCAGGAACATGATTACCATATCATGTGATAAAAATATCTTAATTTATAAAGAACTGTGTTCCAAACAGTCTTTCACAGTGGTGACACTATTTTTGTATTCCTACTAGCAATAAGTCAGAATTCTTGTTACTCTATCTCTGTGATGGCGAACCTTTTAGAGCGTTCAATGAGAACAAAGAGCCGGCTGTAGCACATGTGCCGTAGGATTGCCAACTGCTCTACATTCTCGCCAACACTTGGTGATGTCAGTACACTGGATTTCAGCCTTTCTGACTGGTAGATTTCGCTGTTACTTTAAATTATGTTTCTCTGACGACTATGATGCACAGCACCTTCTCATACACTTATTTGGTAAGTACAGGTAAGGTATCTGATAAGGTCTTTGCCCTGGTTCTAATTAACCAGGTCGTTTGTTTTCTTATCATTGAGTTTTAAGAGTTCCCCATATATTTTAAATAACAGCAACTTATCAGTTGTGTTTTTACACATATTTTTCTCTGTCTGTGATTATTTTCTCCACAGTGTCTTTTACACAGAAGTTTTTAATTTTAATGAAGTCTTATTTGTTTCTTCTTTCATGGATCATATCTATATAGTTGTATTAAAAGGACATTGCCATACTCGATGTCATCAAGATTTTTTCGATTTTTATCTTTTAGGAGTTTCACAGTTTCGTGTTTCATATTTCGATCTGTAGTTCATTTAAAATTGATTTTTGTGAAGGGTATAAGCTTTGTGCCTAGATTTCTTGCTTTCCATGTGAATGTCCAATTGCTTTGGCACTAATGATGTGTGTCCCATTGTGTTTCCTTTGTACTTTTGTCAAATATCAGCTGATTATACGTATATGGGTCTATTTCTGGGCTCTTTGTTATATTTTATTGATGTGTTTGACTATTCTCTTAATGCTGTACTGTCCTAGTTTTGTAGCTAATTTTATAATAGTTCTTGAAGTTGGATAGTATGTCTTGCAACTTTGTTTTTCACTTACAATGTTGTTTTGTCTATTCTGGGTCTATTGCTTTTCCAGATAAACCTTAGACTCAGATTTCTACCATCTGCAAAATCCCTTTCTGACTTTTTGCTTGGAATTACTCTGAATATATAGATCAAGTTGTGAAGCAATGACACCTTGGCAATGTTGAGCTTTCCTACACATAAACACAGAAGATCAGTCCATTTATTTAGTTCTCTGATTTTGTTCATCAGAATTGTTTGTTCCCATGATTTGTTTACAGATTTTGTTAGATTTTCATCAAAGTGCTAAAATAAAAAACTTTCTGTTTGAAGTTTCAAACACTACTTGTTCCTTGCTGGTAGAGGAGGGAGAAGTTGACTGTATAATAAATTTGTATCTTGCACACAAGGATCTTTCAGAGAGATCCTGGGTGATTTATAGCCACAGCCAGCATTATGGTTGAAACTGGGTTCCGTTGTGATACTGTAGGGGTGCCAGGAGAGAGTGGTGGCTAGTAGCATCAGGTGCGTAAGTAGAAAGCCACATTCTTTTTGGAACATGACAGTAAGCTTTTAGTCACAGAAAATGATTTATGCTGAAAGTTGCCCCGCAAGCTCTGTGTCAATTACTTTTTAAGATGGCACAGTGAGTTCCTAATTTGATTGATTCTTACCAGATTTCATGTCTGAACTTTTCTTTAAGATCTTACTTTTAAGAGAGAAAATGTAGGGCAACAAGCATAGGAAATAAATCTTTGTAAGTTCAGGATTATAAGAGTAAAATAGTAATAGTTCAGCCACTCAACTCAATTGAGCTTTTCAATTGAACTTTATTATTAATAATTGAACAGTGATAGTGAGCAATTTCAAATATAATGCATCTGTACATTGTGCAGTGCCAAACTCTGGCATGATAGTATTTATCATCATATTATCTAATGTTTCTGAACATAGTGCTTTCCAAGTGCAGTACACAGTAAAAATTGGTTTATTGGATAATTGAATGATTGAAAAATGATGAAATTTTCATTCTAACTGGTGACTACTCATTTATAATTGTTTGACATTTGATATAAAGAAAATTAAAAATAAGGCAAATTAACTATGAATCTAAGTGCCAGTCATTAGCAGCCTGATTCCTTCTGTCATGAAACTTTTAGAGATGGAATTTTTTTTCATGATTAGCTAAGACTTTTTAAAGTTGAAAAGTCTACATAAAATTATTTTTGATTCTTTTTAAGTGAAGACTTTCTTTCTTTTCTTTTCTTTTTTTTCCAG